GAAACAATGCATTGCACTTTTTCCAACAACCTAAGATACTCACTGGGCTTATGACACCACCTTCTCCTAGTTCTGTTTGTGCTCCTGACTGATTTTGCTAGTCTTCTCCACACATTTCTTTCTCCACCTATTTCTCAGTGCTGGCTCCACCTAGAGTGTGCCTACAGCCCACCAAGTCTCCTCATTCTCCTGCTACCTGGGCCTACGCACTCTCCGTCAGACCTGTAGTTACCCACAAGCAGCAGATGACTCCTGCAGGTGACTCTCCCAATAGGCAGTTCAAACTTGCTCCCAGAGCTGCAGATTCATAATCCAAAGCCCCCTGGGCCCCCCAGCTACATGTGGCACGAGAAGCTCTAGCTCAACAAATCCACAACTTGTTGCTTCCTCCATGCGTTTAAAAAAAAAAAAAAAAAACGATTTATTTATTTATTTAGTTCCATCTGTTATTATTTTTTAATTTGACCAGAGAGAGAAAGCAGGTCAACGAGTTCCGGATTCAAACCATGGTTGGCCATATGGGAATCTAGCGCCTTTAACCACCACGCCACCTGCTGGGCCCCCATCACATATCTTTCATACCTTCTCTCCCTCAGCTCCACATCCAACCCCGAACCCCCTTCACAAACTGCCTTTTCTCAATGTATCTTATTCTTCCTTTTCCCCACTAACCTTGGCCAGGCTATGGAACTCATCTGTCCGCTGCACCGCTCTCTCAAGTCGTCTCCCTGGTTCCAATTCTGACCTGTCGAATCCACGCTGTAGCTGAAGGAACGTATCCGGAAGGCAACTCTGTCCAAGTGACTGACCATCTAAAACCCCTCCTTAGTCAATACAACAGTGCTTCAGAAAGTCCATGGGGAACACATGAAACTAAAGTGCAAGAGTTTTTTTTTTTTTTCTGATGCCCCCCAAAATTTTAAAGCTTGCATAAATTTTTTCAGAATACAGATTTTCTTTTTTTGGGGGGGAGAGAGGTTTTTGCTATAGGGCACGTGCGCTTGCCAGTCAGACAGAGAGAGACAGAGAGACAGAAAGCGAGAAATTACCCCCCAGGGGGTATGGCCATGCCGCAATCCCTTCTCCTCCATTCTCCTCTCGGGATCTGGGACACGCACGCACACACGCCCGGCGTGAGTTTAAGCCACCGAGTCCGGGACTCGAACCGCAGTCAACTACGTGGGAGTCCAGCGACATAGCCATTACGCTAACAGCTGGCCCCAGAATACAAATTTTCTATGAACTCTTGGAAGAACTCCTTCACTACCACATTTTCTCACATTAAGAGGCTCTTCATGACATTGTCTTGGTGCATTATCTTGGGGGGTAGAAGCCTGTCCAGATTTCCTCTTTTCTGAAGGTTTAGAAGGGAATCTGTTCTTCAAAATAAACTATACCCTGGAATCTATTTTTACATAATAGTAGATAACTTTCATTGCACCCTTACTACCTCCCAGCACGCTGCCACGAGATCACCTGTATTTTCTCATTTAATCTGCACAACCTAAGAGGTAGGTCTGTCTTCATGTCCATTTCACAGATAAGAAAACTGAGGCCCAAGGAGGCTCAGTACATTTTCCCACATGCCCGTGACTAGTAAGTGGCAGAAGCAGGACGGCAGCCCAGCCTGGCAAGCCCCTACTAGGGGTATATGCTGTACAAACACTGAGAACCAAGCTGACCCACTGGACTCCATGAAAATCACTGTGAAGGGATCAACAGTGTGGAAGAGGGAAAAAGAAAGGATGTTCATAAAGCCATGGCCTAGAAACAATAATTAGGTAAATAGGCTTTGGAAGACTCACAAATCTTTATCTGTTTGTTCTCCACATTAAATTGTATCTGAAATTCAGCTATATAAACCCATATTTTCGTAAATATGGTATCAATGGAAATGTCCAGAAATATATACACAACAATTATGCCCATAGGAGCCATGTATTAAGCTTTAATGTGATTCAGTTTTAAATAAAGTCATATTTAAGATTCACAGCTATATATCTGGTATTCAGACATCAGAAAAAAGACATGCATAATTGTGACAATTTTATAATTAGATCCACGTAGATTCTTCATTTTAGATCCATGTAGATTCGGAAATGAAGAAGCACATTTAACTTCTGTCAATTTGTTTCCACTTAAAGAGCATGCCTATATTTTTAAAAAAATGTATATACAGGGACCCAGCCACTGTGGCACAGCAATAACGCAGTGCCCTGCCAAACTGGAAGCCATGTGGCAACTGCAGGTTTGAATCCATGTCAGCCTGAGGGTGGGCACACACATGGACAGCCAGGATCCAGAAGAGCTGGAGAACAAGAGACAGGGGATTACAGTATATTGAGTAGAGGATCCTTCTCGCTCCCTTTCTCTCTCTCTCTCCCTCTCATATATACACGCACTCATGTACTCTACTGCTTAAAAAAAAAAAAAAGCATACACAAAAGCACATCATTAGACAACTTCATCATTGCATAAACTTCATAGCGAGTACTTACCTAAACCTAGATGGTATGGCCTACTGCACAGAGGCTCTGTGTGGTATAGCTCATCTTACTCTACAGGACCTCTACTGAATGTGCAATTTGTTGTAAACCGAAATGCCATCATGTGGGGCAAGACTGTAATCACACACAGCCCTCCATGTTTTATCACGATGCCAGGCACCCACAATTAGTAATCTGTCCACAGTAGCTTTGATCCCCCTACAATTTCCTAATATGTTCACTTTCTCCAACACATCTACCTTTTCCTCAAACCTCTGCATGGTCTGCTTCCTCCCAGACCACACAAACCCACAGACAGTTTCAGCTGATGAATCCACCTAAAGAAGTACGTGCCCAGGGCCAGTGATGGCATAGTGGTTAAGATCCTGGATTCCGAGACCAGCAGTTGGCGTAATGGCTATATCGCTGGACTCCCACAGATTCAACCGTGGTTCAAGGCCCAGACCCTGTGGCTTAAACTCACACCGAGCACATGTGCATGTGTGCCAAAGATCCCAAGGGGAGAATGGCGAAGAAGGGATTGCAGCATGGTCATCTCCCTTGGGGGAGTGATTTCTCACTTTGTGCCTCTCCATCTCTTTCTGGCGAGCGCATGCACCCTATAGCAAAAACCTCTAAAAAAAATAAGATCCTGGGTTCCTACATGATCGACCACAGTTTAAGTCCCAGACCTGGCAGCTTGAAAATCACACTGGGCACATGTGTATACGTGCCCAAGATCCCAAGAGGAGAATGGAGAAGAAGAGACTGGGGGTGGCCATCCCCCCTAGGGGGAAGATTTCTCACTTTCCCTATCACTATGTCTCTCTCTAGTGCACTCATGTGCCCTATGGCAAAACAAAAACAACTATGTGCCTACCACCTTGTCTGCATCCACTTGTACCCTGGCCCAATTCCCTCCTTTTCCCTTGCTTGGAAGGGAAGCTCAGACCCTCCGGTAAACTGGCTTCTCAAGGACTTCCCTTCAGCAAATGGTCTTCTCGCTCCTGCTTCTACAGTTCAGCCCTTGCTGCTGGATCATTTTTAGGACCATACAAATTGATTTTATCTCCACATGAAACAAGACTCTCACCATATTCCTATATCCCATCTCACTTCCCTTCATAGAAAACTCCTCTCTAACCACTTGAGGGTGTAGCTCAGTGGTAGAGCACGTGCTTTGCATGTATGAGGCCCTGAGTTCGATCCCTAGCACCTCCAGGGGACACAAATTTATTGGGGCTGGCAGATAGTGTGGTGGTTAAAGGTGCTGGACTCCTACATGCCAACCATGATTCAAGTCCTGGACCTGGTGGCTTACTTTCTCTCTCTCTCCCTCTGTCTGTCTGACAAAACTGGTAAATAATAATAATAATAACAATAATAAATAAAGTTAAATAAAATAATTCTTTTTAAAAAAAGAGAGAGAGAGAGAAAACTTTTCACTAAACCTGACTGCAATTATCTCCACATCTCTGTTCTCTCTACACCACTTGAGTACAGCAGACTCCAACTCTAGTACACAGCTGGTCAAGTGCCTAAGAACTCCACGACTCCTCATCTGCTACAGTTTGAGTGCCTTCTCCAAGACTCATGCTGAAATTGAGTTACCATTGTGACAGTATTAAAAGGTGGGAGCTACAAATGGTAATTAACAATGGATTAACACCATGGCTGAAAGAGTGGGTTGGGTTTGGTATGAGTTTGGCCCCTATTTCTCCCCATCTCATGTCTACACTTGCCCTTTTTCCACCTTCCACCATTGGACGCCTCTTGCCAGATGCTGGCACCATGTTCTTGGATTTTCCAGTCTCCAGAAGTACAAGCCAAATAAATACCTTTCTTTATAAATTACCCCGACTGAGATATTGTGTTACAGCAACACAAAATGTACTATAATTCCATCCCACCACCACAATATTCTCTTCTTCCTTCAGGGCCTGGACACCCTACATTGCCCCAGGAGCTCAGCACTGTTCCTTCTGCTAGGTGTGCTATTCCATCAGATGCCCTGTCTGGCCCACTCCCCTCACTTCCTTCAGACTTCTCTCCCTCAGACCCCAGAGCGACCTTCCCGGACCAGGCTACTCAAAACAGTCCTACCCAAACCACAACTCATCTGGGTCTCACACCATCATTTCCTATGCCCTTGCACTGTTATTTTTCTTATGCCTAATACTAAATGCCATATTTCTTTTATGCGTTTTGTTGCTTATTTCTTGTTCTCCAACCTGTCCATCCTCGATGCCCTACACACACACACATGCACACACACACACGAATGTAAATCCTATGAGGACAGGGAATCTGATCTCCTATTCATTCTTTACGCCTAGAAACTAAAAGAAAGACCAGACACACTAGATGCTCAATAAATATACACTGAACAAAACCTTCAAATTTTAGAGAACCCAGACCTCTGGGATTGGAGAGTGAACCTTTCCAAGGGATCTAGTAGAATCAGGTTTTGGTAGCAGTTTGGGAAGGGAAACAATATATATTTATATGTTTTACCTTTCTGATGTCACTCTGATTCGTTCCTCAAAACTACAGTTCAGACCTTCCATCTTCTCATGGAAGTATTTTTCCACACACTGCTCTTCAAAATCATGAAGTTTTTTCAGATCTTCCTTACTCAGGTAGAGTTCTATGGGAATAAGGATGGTACATAAAGAGTCGTTATCCACCATCAATAAGAAGCTGATATGGGGCATAAGCAGCAGCTCTTCCACACTGACTTTGGAAAGGATAAACGAGCTTGGGCGATCAAAGGTTGCCTCCCATCCCACCGTATTCCCAATATTAATGGAGAAGTAGAACGCAGAAAGTATGGGAAACGCCAGTCTGGGTCTCTCCTACTACTCTTCTATATGAGTTGTATTTTGAAAACAACTCATATAGAACAAAGAGGTTCTTATCAATATTTTCATAGGTTAGAATGTCTTCATATAGCCACAGAAGTTCACTATATTTATATGCAAATGGGGAAAGAATCTGACCATTTTCTCTTTGCCAGGACTTATATTATTTTTATTTTAAAAGTTTAATTTATTTTTGGCAAAAATAAAAATGAATATAAAAAAGTTTAATTTATTATTATTTTTAGAGAGAAAGTTCTTTTGGTTTTTTGTTTGTTTGTTTTGTTTTGTTTTTTTGCTATAGCATGCATGCCTTGGCTAGAGAGACAGTGGGAGATAGAGACAGAAAGCAAGAAATCACCCCAAGGGGGTTTGGCCATGCCACAATCCCTTCTCCTCCACTATCCTCTTGAGATCTTGGACACTCAAATGCACGCACCTGGCAAGAGTTTTAAGCTGCTGAGTCTAGGACCCAAACCACAGTTGATTACAAGGGAGTCGAGCAACGTAACTATTACACCATATGCTGGTCCCTAAAGTTTAATGTTTTATTCACGATCGAGTGTATGTATGCACATGAGAGAAAAAGAGAAACAGATAGAACGAGACACACCCTTGACAGTCTTGCCTCAGAATGCCCCTTCCCCAGCCCTCCAGCTCCTCAGGATCTTGGGAGCATGCACATGCACGCTGTGCATTTTCAGACCAACATGCAAGTTGGAACCCGTGGTCAGCCATGCCTCTTCCACAACTGCAGATCCATTTGCCACTGACTGCACCACCCGGTGTGGCCACTTTAAATTATTTTAACCACTGAAATAACAGTAAGTAACTTACAGGTTAAAACCAAGATTAGGGGACCAGCAGTTGCTGTAATGGCTATGTCACTGAACTCCCATCAAGTCAACCATATTTTGATTCCTGGACCCAGTGGCTTAAACTCACTCCAGGCATGTGTGTGTGTGTACCCAAGATCCTGAGAGAAGAACAGAGGAGAAGGGAATGCAGTGTGGCCATTCCCCGGGGGGTGACTTCTCGCTTCCGGTCTCTCTATCTCTTTCTGTCTTTCTGGCAAGCCCCCGTGCTCTATAGCAAAAATCCCAAAAAAAAAAAAAAAAAAAGACACATCAGGGTCAGCTCCATGGTGCAGTGGGAATGCGCCCCTCATGAGAAGCCAGATCCCATAAGACACCTACAGTTTGAATCCTCAGCCCAGTCCCTGAAACACTGCGGGCACGTGTATGAGTGCACAGACTGAGGAACTGGAAGACTGAAGGAAGAAGAGTCACGCATGACCAGACTACGGAGGCTGCTTCCCTCACTCCCTCTCCCCCGCTCTCTCATGCACATGCACACACTCTATAATAAATAAAGAAAAAAATTAAAGACACATCGTTTCGTGACACTATGAAGCCAGGGCAATTCTTTTTCAAACTTTAACATTCATATCGGGTCTACCATCCTGGTTCTCACTCTAACCTAAAAAAATAATAATCGACTTTTAAGCAAGTCTCTAATAGCTGGAAAATGTAAAAATGAAATGATGGTGCTAAAAGTATAAAATTGGAAAGTATTTGACTAGTTTCCATTAAATTAGGAGGGGAAAAAGAACTATCACAATTCTCCAGAATTTATTAAAAATACAAATGTTTTATTATTTTCCAATAAAATGAATAACAAAATATATTAATTTTAAGTAGAAAAATGTAGCTCAAAGAAAGTAACGTTTAGCCATAAACTGTGTTCACAATGCAAGCACTTAATGTTTTCTGGTTTATCTAATGTGGTAGAATCTGTCAGGTGTTGAAAAAAAAAATCCAGGCTCTCCCACCTCCACCCACCTCTCATGTCTGTCTGCACAAAAGAGTCTCCTATGAGCAAGAACTTTTACACTCGCCATGACACGGGCCCCTTCTGTGGAGCCCGGAGAACGAATTCTCCAAAAAGCAGTTCCAGATGCAGGTGCCATTTGCAGAATGTGGAACCTTCCTGTAACTGTCCGCCAGGTGGCACTGTTGCCCTATGTGTAAATTTATTTATTTATTTTTAATCTTTTTAATTAATGACAGATTGAGTGAGACAGGAGGAGAAAGAAGAAGGGTGAGAGAGATTTGTTAAACAGGGTCTCACCATGTCCGCCTCCCAGTTAGCTAGGATTACAGGCTATGCCCCCACATCTGGCCTGTTCACATTGGGTCAGGAATCAAACCCAAGCCTCCCATGTGGTCCCAGCCTCCAAGCAACAGCTTACGGCCATGCCACCATGGCTGAGCTCCCATGTGTAAATACCTTTATCCTTACTCTAAACAACTGGAAGCAATATCATGAAAATTCAATAACGTTCCAGAGCTCAGGGTAAATTCACCTCCATCCACCAAAATTTACTTCAGTATTATATGAAATCATCCCATAAGCCTAGACCAGAGTAAGCCTAGGAAAGCTTATTTTGTGTGGTATGAGGGGAAGTCTGGGTAAATCTTAATACATTTCAGTATCTCACGTGGTTCTTATTCTACTGTAGGTTGCAATAATTCTGCGGCCAATGCATAGAATGGCTCTGTATTAGAAACCTAGATTTTACACTATAATCATAAGCCTTCAAGGTAACTTCAGTTGTACTCTGGCTTCCACATGAAGGCTGAGTCTCTAACAGGGAAGAAGTGAGAAAGAAAAAGAAATCTTTGAAGTTACTCCAGAAAGTTTAGAAAGGTAACATGGTACATAAACCATAAAACTGTAGAATATTTACACTGTAAGGGTTAAAAAGACTAAATGGCCTACATCACTTTGCTCTCCTGGCCAAATGAGTCTTCCCCCAATTTTTGAAGAAAAAAGACTTCCGTTTTCAGAGGTATTTTAGATGTAGACATTTAGATAACCAACTGTGCATTTAGGCCACCTACTCCTGTATATCTAGGCATTACCTAGAAATAGGCCTTGTATCAATTATGGAATTGCTTGATTAAAAACTACCGAAGGGGGCTGGCAGGTGGCGTGGTGGTTAAAGGTGCTGGATTCCCACATAGCCAACAGCAGTGTGAGTCCTAGACCTGGCGGCTTGCTTTCTCACTTTCCCTTTCTCCCTCTGTTTCTTTCTCTCTGGTCAAATTTTAAAATAATAATAACGAATGGAATTAAATAAATAATTCCTAAAAACAAAACAAAATAAAAAACTGCTGAAGATCTGTAAAATCACCACAGGCAATATTTCCTTATGACAATTAGTGACAGCCACAACACACATTCAAAATTCAGCTACACCAGACAAACTAAGAAAACTTCCAAATATGTAGACTTAACACTTAAAATAAAAAAAACAGAGAATTCATTTTCCCATATTTTTGCATCCAGAGTTGACATTCTTGAAAGTAAGAAACATTCATTTCAGAATCAGCTCCATACTCAGTAGAGAACTAGTTTTTAACATAACTCTGGTTAATAAGTTAAGCAAAGACTTACTTATCTACTTCCCTTAGACCTGGAGGCCTTCTGTAACTCCTTTCTCTCTCTCTTTTTTTTTTTTAGAGGTCTTTGCTATAGGGCGCATGTGATTGCCAGAAGAACAGAGAGAGACAGAGAAACAGAAAAAGAGAAATCACCCCCTGGGGGGATGGCCACGCCACAATCCCTTCTCTTTCATTCTCCTCTTGGGATTTTGGGCACGCACGCACAAGCGCCGGGCGTGAGTTTAAGCCACCAGGTCCAGGACTCGAAACGCTGTCGACTACATGAGAGTTCAGCGACATAGCCATTATGCCAACTGCTGGTCCCCCTTTCTATTTAAATTCCACCTTTGGCAACAGAGAAATGAGTACAGATACCATGGGTTACATTCTCTAGACGCGTTACTCTGATGAATTCCCAAGTCAGCAAAAATACACAGAATTTCCTTTACAAATCCAACCAGAGATTCTGTGCCTACTTTCTTTCAAAATACCAGCTAAGCTTTCCGAAAGGCACTGACCATGTAATAGGTCAATGTATTTACTTAGGCTCAGGGCATCAGCTGACATTCTACAGTCAAGTAACTCCCAAAGTCTTCCATCCTGTACCCTGAATTTTCAATGCCACTGTGGGTCTCCCCAATTTACTCTCTTTTTGCTGCTTAACCAGTTAAAAAACTTAATCTGAGACTACCAGATGACATAATGGGTATGTCACAGGACCTCCACGTAGTCAACCTCGGTTCAAGTTCTGGACCTCGTGGCTTAAAACTCACACCAAGCGTCTGTGTGTGTGTATCTAAGATCCCAAGAGGAGAAGGGAGGAGAAGGGATTGTGGTTTGGTCATCCCCCCTGGGAGGTGATTTCTCACTTTCTATCTGTCTCTCTCTGGTGAGTACACATACTCTATAACAAAAATCTCTCTCAAAAAAGAAATATATATATAAATAAAACTTACTTAATCCAACATCACCCTCTTCCTGGTCATTCGGAGTTCGACGATGGCAAAGGCAGCGAAGCAGAAGTCCCAGGTAGCTCAGTAGGATAACAGGGGGTGGCAGCCATGGCTTCTCATGGTAGGTCATGATGTAGCGATAGCGGTTGTATTTCCACAGTTTATTTGAAATGGATTCCATATCCAAGTAAACATTGCTGTAAGGTGTAGGTAGAGAAGGGCAATGTTTTAATATAGACTCTCGAAGCATGGCAGTTAGGTTCTTTCTTTTTCAACTTTTATGACTGGTTCTCTGGACACTACCGATAGATAGTCAATATAAACAATATTCAAGCCAGCATTGTGGCCTGGTGGTTAAAGCAGCTGGATCCCACATGGCCAATATAGTTCAAATCCTGGACTTGGCGGCTTGAAAAATATGCCAGGCACATGTGTGTATGTGTGCCCAAAATCCCCAAAGGAAGAAGAGAGGGAGGAAAAGGATTTTGGTGTAATCCCCTGTGGCATATGCTTTCTCATCGTCTTTCTCTGTTTCTCTCTGTCTCTCTGTCTCTCTCTCCCTAGCAAGCACAGAGGTCCTCTGGCAAATTAAAAAGAAAAAAAATGTAATAATATACACTATGTAATTCTCCTTCAATCAAAAAATACATTAATCATCTTCTACAATAAAGTATGCTAGTCAGAATAATGAGCAAAAGGCAGAAACTACAATCAGAGAGAAGAAAGCACAAACATTTTAAATGCAATGAACAAAAACCCTCTGGCACTCAATGCAATTCTTGAGTAACAATCTCTTCTCACATAAGAAGCTCTTTTTAGTTCTCGATTCATCCTTCATGGTTAAAATCTTTCATCTTTCCGTATATCATCAACCTTATGAAGTTATCTTCCTAATGTCACATGTGAGAACTGCTAGAATAATTCTAATTAAAACACTCAAATGGGAGCTGCATAGTTGCACAGGATTAAAACAAAGCAAAACAACAAACAAAACAATGCTCACTGAGGCTAACCCACACAAAAAAGTTCCCAGGTGATATCCAGAGACCTCCCTGAGTATGTCAGGCATATCCCTGCCCATGATCTGGGGCTGGCTGAAAACGAGGGGTGGGCTGTGGGTCAGCTGCTAGTAGTGGTGCTGTTATCACTCCCTTCCTTTATGTCTCTCCCTCACTCATGGAAGAAATAAATAAACACATTTTTTTTTAAAAAAGTATAAAACCCAAGTGAAAAGGTATTAATAAAGATGAAAAGCCCAGGAAGAAGACTCAGCTCATCCTAAAATAAATCAATAACTTGAACTTCTATGACAAGCTATATAAATTACTCAGATAACTTTGTAATAAAAGCAATTCCTTATTGGTAAGAGACTTTGGGTTTTTCCTTAACATAGATCAGTTACAATATGCAGACAGAACAGTAAATACTGACATTATAGATCTCTCGATGGAAGTTACAGTGAGTGGCATAGTTACTCTAAATCAATGTATCATTCTTAACACTTTAAGTATCTTTTTTGTAAACCCAAGCCACTTTAATGTTTTTGTACAATTTAATAAATCATCTTTTGATGACTGCAGACATGGAAGACCAGCTATATGCAGAAACGTCAGTCATGACGGTTTTCCAGATCAGTGTATCACCTTCGAAGATGCAAGGAGTTATTTGTATGCAACTGCTATCAAATCAGTAACAGCACTTATGCATCCATCATTTTCAGGGTTGTTAATAACTTGGGCATATTTCTCCCAAATAACCTTTCCTCCTTGTGTCATAGGCCTGACTCACTCACGTTCACCTCAGTGACAGTACCTTTGATGATAACACCCAAAGTTGTATATAGGGGGGATAAAGGTTCTTCTTTACACTAAGTATTGGCAGGCAAAAGGTGGCTTTCAATTTAGGATGTGCTACATGTGCTTTCTTGAAACGTAAGCCCATTGACCTAAAGAATCTTTTTTATTAGGTGGTTTTCCCTTTCTTTGGAGAGGTTTTTGCTATAGGGCACATGTGCTCACCAGAAAGACACAGAGAGACAGAGAGACAGAAAGCGAAAAATCACCCCACAGCATGGATGGACACGCCACAATCCCTTCTCCTCCATTCTCCTCTTGAGATCTTGGGCACACATGCACATGTGCCCGGCATGAGTTTAAGCGACTGGGTCCAGGACTCAAACTGTGGTCAACTATATGGAAGTCCAGCAACATAAGCCATTACACCAACTGCTGGTCCCATATTTAGGTGGTTTTCTAGTAAAGCCATCTCCAACGAGGCAGACTTTTGTAACCATACTCTTCCATGCCTTCTTTCTCTTTCCTATTCCGATAACTTTTAATATTTCCGTTTCTACCTGGGCTCGAACTTTGGGTAGAGGGACTTCCCATTTTCCTCCTTTATCTTTCCGTTTTTGTTTAATCATATTGGAAAGTACTTTAGCTGGGGACTGTCCTTCTCTGTCCAACAGATAGGCAGGTACTGCTCCTTGTGGAGTCTTTTCGTCATTCTTCTGTTTGGTGCTCCTCTTTTCATGCATCTTGATAGTCTTTTTCATTTGTATTTTCTCAGCATGGTGCTGTTTATGATAGAGCTGAGCCTTCAGACCAATCATCTTTTTTGCCTTCTTTGAACGTTCATGAGCCTCTGGACTTCCTTCTTTCCCTTTTTCTCGTGGTAATCCAAACAGTATCCATAGCATTCACAATGTAATTCAATATATTTGTTTTGTGGCACGATGATAGCTGCAGAGTCTCCGGGAGCAGCCTCTCAGATGTAAAGAAGTTGTCAACTTTCAGAAATGCTTTACATATTTAACATAACATGGTGAAAAGGCACAATGGAATGTCCATTTCAATTATTTTTAGGCTATCAAAATTTTTAGTTTTTTTTTTTTTTTTTTTTTTAGGTTTTTTAGTATTTTGCCACAGAATGTGTTCTCTTGGCAGAGAGAGAGAGATGGACATAGGGAAAATGAAAAATCACTCCCCAGGGAAGATGGCCATACCACAATCCCTTCTCCTTCATCCTCCTCTCTGGATTTTGGGCATGCACACACACACACATGATTTTCAAACCACCTGGTCCAGGACCCAAACAGTAGTTGGGCATGTGGAAATCCAGTGCCTTAATCACACTACCTACTCACCCCCAAATTTAGTTTCTTTAGAGGAAGATGGCAGACAACTTGAGCAGAGTAGCTAAATAAAAACATAGGCAACAGTAAACTTGAATAATGCCAAAAAGAAGGGATCAAAACCATCCTGGAGAAATCCAGCTTAGGATATGAATAGGAGGCAAGTTTCACAAATCCACAGAAGGCAATAAAAATGTGGATGACTGTTAGGAAAGTTCTCAAAGTGTGATCACTGAACCGGCGGCGTCAGTGTCACCAGAGAAATGCATAATCTTGGGTTCCATCTCAGAACTATTGCATGAGGGACTGTATGGGTAGATAATATGGCAATCTGTGCCCGGCAAGCCTTCCAGATGCTTCTCCTTCACAGGCAGGTTTAGGAGCTACTCAATTACATATTGTCGCTCCAAATGTGACTGCAGTCTGTCCACCAGCAGGTGGCGACCTTCACAATTGATAATAATTCAGGGATTTTTTTTTTTTTTTAATTGCTATTGGTATAAAGAATTCTGTCTGTAAAGGGCCTCTGGACAAATTCTCAGATTTGGAGGTTCTGCAGCTCATTTGATCCTCGGTGCGTTCATCTCTAAAGTCAGAATATTGATATTAAAGGGTTTCTAAACTTCTTTTGGTACCTTTTTATTTTTCTGGAGAGGTTTTTGCTATAGGGCGCATGCGCTCACCAGAAAGACAGAGAGTGACAGAGAGAAAGAAAGCGAGAAATCACCCCCCAGGGGGTATGACCACACTGCAATTCCTTCTCCTCCATTCTCCTCTCGGGATCTTGGGCACGCACGCACACGCGCCCGGCGTGAGTTTAAGCCACCAGGTCTGGGACTTGAACCACGGTCGACTACGTGGGAGTCCAGCAACATAGCCATTATGCTAACTGCTGGTCCCGGTACCTTATATTTTTGAGAAGAGAGTCTCACACAGTAAGTTCATGACATGGTAGGGCTAAGAGAGGAAACGGCAATCATGTATCACATACAGTCTTGTAACAAATCGAAATGTATGTCCTCCCCCAATACTGCATATGCTCCCACAGTCATGTTTTTAAGTTTTCAAATTTATTTTGCCTACCCAGCCACTATCTTTCTTTGCTTAGATTTCATGAATTGATTTTCCATTTTATTATCCTTTTCTCTTGAATGAGATAATCAACAACAACAACAACAAATACCTAGCACGGTGCCTGGCATTTAAGAGGTATTCAGAGAACACTAGCTTCTTCCTGTCACCTCACTTGTTCTCTTTTATGTATGACATAAATATGTGCTAGATACTCTTTTTGATGTTTGGGATAAATTCATGGGCAAAAAGATTTAAAAAAAAGCACATGTCTGTGGAACTTATATTCCAATAGAGGAATCACATAACAGAAAAACATAATACATAAATAAACTATAAAATATATCTGCATCTACAATGAAAGTAGGTACATAACTCAATTTCTAATTATTCCTTTTTTTATTTTTAAGGTTCTTGCCTTAGGGAGTGTTGTTCTCATTAGAGACAAAAAGAGAGAAAGTGAGAAATCACGCCCCAGGAGGGATAACCATGCCACAGTCCCTTCTCCTCCATTTTCCTCTCAGGAGGGCACGCACATACATGCACCTAAAATGATTTTTAAGTCACCAAGTCCAGGACTCAAACCATGGACAGCCAGGTGAGAGTCTAGTACCTTAATCATCACACCACCTTCTGGTCCCTATCTATTTATTTATCATTGCCAGAAGGCACAAGTGCTTGCCAAAGAGTAAGAGAAAATACCTCCCCCACCCTTTTTTTTTGGAGAGGTTTTTGCTATAGGGTGCATGCGCTTGCCAGAGAGACAGACAGAGAGAGACAGAGAGACAGAAACCGAGAAATCACCCCCCAGGGGGGGTAGCCAAGCCACAATCCCTTCTCCTCCATTCTCCTCTCGGGATCTTGGGCACGCATGCACACACACCTGGCGTGAGTTTTAAGCCACTGGGTCTGGGACGCGAACTGCGGTCGACTACATGGGAATCCAGCGACATAGCCATTATGCTAACTGCTGGTCCCAAGAGAAAATACCCCCTAATGGGGCATGGTCACACTACAACCTCTTCTCCCACATCTCTCCATCCCTCAGGATCTGAGGTGCACGCACATGTATGCCCTGTATGTTCTGCACCTTACTGGCCTGGGTGGGATTCGAACTCTGTTGGCCATGTGTTATCCAGCACCCTATGCCCCATGTTTAACTGCTACACTACAAGGTTGGCCCAAAAGTAGGTATAAATAGAGAATACTAAGGAGGACCAGGCGTACCCAGGAGATGGCAGAGGCCAGCGAGCTATACTTGTAACTATAGCAGTCAAGTTCTTGCTAATTAAAGGGGAAATTAGACAAAGACTAGCAGGAGGTGAGGGAATGAGCCACACATCTCTGAGGGGAGAGCATTCCAAGCAGAGGGAACAGCAATTGTAAACAAAGCACCATGTTGTTTTACAAGCTGGGGGAGGTCAGTGTGTTTGCAGAGGTTAGCTTAGAGGAAGAGCAGCATGGTGCATGACTTCAGTTGCAGGGAAGCCAGATCACATGAGGCCATGCAGACTTTTATAGAAGTTCACCCAGAGAGAAACTGGGAGTCACTGAAGGGTTCAGAGAGGAGGAGTAATATCATCTGCTACGTGTTTTTAAAGGGTCACCCAGCCTGCTGTGTTGCAAACAGAATACAGAAACCAAAGACAGAAGCAGAGAAGTAAATGAGGAGGGTGGAGGCTCTCTTTGACAGTGCGGTAGTGAGAGGTGATGGAATTGATAATCTGTTCACTCAGCCAACAGGAGTTCCTGGCAGTTTAGAGATGGTGGTATGAGAGACATTAAGATTCCAGAGATTCTGATCTAAACAGTTAAAAAGGATGGCGTTTCAACAGAAACTCATATTCCCCCTCATGGATTTGAGAGATACTACAAGTAGAACAAGTACATGTTGAAAAACGGAAGATCAAGAGTTTGAACATCTTGAATTTTCAAATTCTGTTACACTCTGTCTAGGATAGAAGGGGCTGTTGGATCTACTGACTGGAGTTTAAGAAAGCAGGCTGGGCTTGGAGATATCAGCTGACACTTGACATTATTAAGATATGCAGGAAACTAAATGAGATCAGAAAAAAGCATACAGGAAGAACAGCTGGGGAGAAGATGATCCACAAAAGGAGACTCAGAAGTGAGAAAGAAGAAAAGAGGTGGGATATGCTATCAGCCAACTGAAGAAAGTATATTAAGAACTCCTTTGCCAACCTTTACCTCTATCAACTGTTATTTTTCCATGAATCTCACTTACTGCTTAATTACAACTCATGATCTTCCTTTATTTTACTTTTTTTTTTTTTTTTTGCTTGAGTATATGTGTACTTGCCAGAGAGAGAAAGAGAGCGGAAAGTGAGAAAACACTCCCTACAGGGCATGGTCACACCCTCATCCCTTCTCCATCTTTCCCTCCTCTCAGGATTTTGGGAATGTAGGCACATGAGCCCAGTATGTTTCTCAAGCCACTGGGTCCAGGACTTGAATCATACAAATTGGCCATATGGGATCTGGCTATCTTAATCACCAGGACACAGAGCTGGCCTCTGATTTTATTATTCTATTAGTTATTTTATTACTTCCCATGGACTGCTTTCTTCCTACCAGTAGTTGCATACCTATATTTTAAAACCATCGTAATGAAACATAGAACACATAAATCCAAAGGTCATGTACTGAACATGCATGTGAGTTTACTCAACACAGCTTTCCCCATTTATTGAAAGAAAATAACCTACTTGAAGAAAGCAATCAACAGGTTCACCATGATGATATATTGTATGAAGAGGTAGACAGCTTGCAGGAACGGAGTAAGGAAAGAACCCGGAGGGCAAGATGGTTTGCTTTCACAAACTACAAATAAAGAATTTTAAAGAATAATAAATAAGATGAGTCATGGTCCCATTGAGTCTAGACAAACAAACATATTTTAACTTTGCAAAATATCACAAATATATGTTTTTACCATTCAGAGGGTTATTTTCCAGATTTTTTTTTCATTCTGCGTATCTACAAAGGTTGAATTTCTGCATGATGGCAAAATCCCATACTTACCATCAATTTCGGAAGCATAGACTTCTCCATAAATCATCCAGTATGGCTCAAACACAATATCTCGAGCAAGGCTCCAAGAGGGAGGCTCCTTTGGTGAAAGGATGGCCTTGCGTGCCACTCCAAAGCTCAGCAGGACTATGGCCATCATGATCACAATATAGAACATGTTTGCTGCCTACAAGATAACACAGACCAC